GCTTCTTTATAATACGAGAATAAACAATCATTTCTTATGAAAATTATAACTCCATCATTCGAGTGAAGATCTTTCTAAGGTTATAATTGGTTGAATAGTCTAACTCAGTGTTTCCCAAAGGGTGTACCACGGCACACTGGTGAGCCGTGAAATTTGGAAGGTGTGCCACAAATCACGATGACTAAAACTTTTTCATAAAATGATTTATAATGGTAATAATATATTTATTGAAATTTCTGTAATTATCGGATACTGTTTTAATAAAACTCCAAAACTGGAACAGTTTAAGTTCATTAAACTTTATAATTTCAGTGAACGATTAGATTGAAGTTCTAAAAGTTGTTCTTGTTCAACTAATCCTAGATGTGATATTACATCTGATGTTACTGCAAAAGGATTGCGCACCCAATCATATTCGTTAATAGGCAAAGATGGGAAGTATTTTTTTTATTTTTTTTTTTTAAATTATGAGATGATTTATTTTCAATTTAGATGTTACTTCTCCATCTGGATCAGCATCTGCTGTTAATGAAAACATTTGCAGTTGTTTTTTTTTCTACGTGTGAAATTAATCCAAAGATTAATTTTCCGTAAAACCCCATTTAATTTATCAGACGATGTTAATATGTTTTCATCTTTACCTTGCTTATTGGAATTAAGAATATTTATATCTTTAGACACATCAGCTAGATAAGCAAGTTTTTCAGACCATAATGGATTATTTAATTGAGTTACGAAATCGGTGTTTGGGTTTTCATTATTTAACAATTGCAACAACTCATTTTTCATTTCATAAAATATGTTTAAAACCTTACCCTTTGATAACCATCGAATTCAGTATGCAAAACAAAAACTTCACTCTATATATACAAGTACAACTATCTAGAGATAATATTATAACCTAATAACGATAATAAATAATAATACTCAACATCAAGTACGTATTATTCGATAAGTAGATAATATTTATCAAAAGTGTGCCGTGACTTATAATAATTAAGTAATAATAATGTGTCGCGATGGGAAAAAGTTTGGGAACCGCTGGTCTAACTAGTAACTGATAGTTATTAAAAAAATATATTTTAAATCTAAATATTGATTTAACCAAGCTTTAAAAAGTTCAAAATTATATGTATTTGATTATACATTTCATATTTTTTTGTTTTATATTGTTTAGCCATTTGTTGGATGTCTTCTGTAAAATTATGAATTATTATAATTGTGTGAGCAAACTTCTGGTTTGTGTGTGTGAGAATTTGTGGTTTTTTCATGTCACAAAAACTACCCACGAGGAAAGAGGAACACTTTCCTCGTGACCTGTGAGCCGAGACCCGAGGGTCAAGTCGGTGGAACTCAGAGGCTTTGATACACGCATGGAGCAATGAAGTTCCAAGATTTATGCGAGGAAAGAAAATAAGTTAATTAATAAATAAATAATGAGACTAATAAGTTTAGGGTAATCATATGGGTGTATTTTACACAATATTCAAAAATAAATTAAATAAGTCATAATGATGGCATATAGTTGTCTTTCTTTACAAATCATTTAAAATATAAGTTTGGTGTACGGCAATGTCGGACACAATATAATATAGTTTGGCACATGGCAAGTGCATAAGAAATATAATCAAATAGATGTAATAAAAAATGAATAATATTTCGGCACATGGCAATTACAAAATAAATATAAAAGGGATCATATTTTGGCACATGGCAAGTGCATAGGAAATGTAATAAAAATGAATATAGTTGGGCATATGACATGTGCAAGGAAATGTAATGGATAAAAATGCAAATAATAATGCTACGGCTCCGGCGAGCGGTTAGGCACATAATGATCATCATATGTCGGTATGACATACATATAGGGTCAAATGGGGTAATTGTAAATCGGGGCATTTGTAAATAATAATCATAAGAAATTAACCAATCATTTTTAATGTATTTCRTATTAATAACATGAAGGTATGAACGTATATTGATATAGTGAATCAATGAAACTTATAACATTTTGAGGTTATGTGATAATAYGTTAAATAAAAGGTAATACAGGTTGTTTACATATGCCCCAGATCCAGATTCTATTTCACTCTTATAACGTGAAATCATTGTTTACATTTACCCCAAATAAATGGAGCAAATGTAAATGAATGGGGCATATGTATTATTTTTTTTTTCTTAAGTGATTTAATATTCTGGTCTTGTGTAGGAAATTTTATAAGCCTAGGATATGTTTATGAATGGTTTTGATGAGAAAGAAAATGTATTGTTAATTATAATTTAGAAAATAAAAAAAATATTAAAAAGTAACAAAATTTATTTACAATTACCCCATTTGACCCTAACATATTATACATTTATATGTATTAAAGGAAACGACCCACGGCTCCGCATGACGGTTACCCGGGCACCTCTTAGGAAAATCGGAGTGTACATAAAAAAGAAATGATGGTGATGCATAATCAAAATGAAAAAGGGGGAAATGTTAGGGGGAAAATAATACTTGACGACGACTGTTTGTACTGAGCTGATGATGTTTGAGATGGCTTCGCCCGCCACGGGCCTATGACGTCGCTTCAGCCCATCATGACCGGTGGTATTCCGCCGATGGTGAAAACAAATAATAAAAATTTCAAGTCCTGGAGACGTGTTGCGAGAGTCAATGGCGTTGAGCAGAAAAACGAACACAATAGATCGGTCATCGATGGTGGCGAAAAACAGACAACACGGTAGTAGACGTCGGTGGCTGTTCGTATACCGTTGCGGCGTCTTGATATTCTTGGGTAAAGGGGTGGTCAGTAGTGTCGTCGCGTCGGGAACTTTCGTACAATGTATATAGTGGGGAAACAGGTTGCACTGTCTGTATGCGCCAGCGGCTGCGACATCGACGCGATGAACACTGCATCATGTGGGGAGGTCAGGGGACTAGTATTACATAACAGTGTTTTTGTCATTATAATATTTAATGAGTGCATGCATAATAATAGAGATTATGGAAATACTATGTGTTATATTATAATGAAAGGACTTGAACATATTATAAGATTATACTAATAACATTATGTAATATTCTAATAAAAGAGCCTCAAAATTCTGTGACGTTACAATAAGTGCCTTCAGCATCCTAAAAATAAAAATATCAATCATATTTCTGCATACAAATATCTATAAAATGATAACCAAATAACCCGTGATTCTGAAAATGAAGACGATGAATATTAAACATAAACGATTTTCACGAGTGTTAATGTGTTATTTGTTTTTATGGATTTATTATGAGCTTTTATCGATATCACAAGTTATAGAGTGAAATTGATATATTGAATTTAGAACTATTTCAAAATACGTAAGTTGCGAAAATAAAATGATATTTATAATTTTTTGTCATTAATTGTTAACGAACCATTTTGTAGAATGACTCAATTGTTTTATGGCACAAAGTATCTTCAAGACACGGTACCAATTATTTCTATAGTGGATTTATGCTATTTTGTTCAATACTATCTATTCGATATCTAACATTATTTATTTATTGAGCAAGTTCATTATTGTCGTTTGTAATACTTAATTTCCTTAACAAATTTCTCTCATTTCTTCTAAAATTTTAGAAAGGGTGATACTAAAATCGTAAAAATAAGATAAAAAACATTAAATAAATATAGCTAAAATATTTATAAAACATATATATACATATTTATAAAATTTGTTCTAGACAGGTGTACACACCAGGTATTTAAGGAGTTTGTAATTTTTACTAACACCTAACAACTAAACATTTATTGCTCCATTTAAATTTTATTAACATTAATACACTAAAAAAGTGTTTTATGATAATAAGATAGTAAAAGAAAAATATATTTATATGAATGAGTATATTTATTTGATATATTTGTGTATGTAATAAATATTATATATATATACAATATATTAAATCTAAAAAAATAATTATCTTCACATACAATAATAATATAATAATATTACCAGTTAACTTTTTTTGAGCCACAAATAAATATTATTTCTAAATATAAATAACCTTATACAGCACTATTGTATTTAAAAATAAGAATACCAACAAACAAATAACTTTTAATGAAGATTTTGATTTTTACATAATTAAACTTTCAACGTAATATTTTCGAGACTCATCTTTATAGTACAATGATCCAAATCAATAAACTCAAAATACAGTTGACTTATTACAGGTGTCTGAGAAGGTACTATCTACAAGCCCACATTATAATCACAAGTCCAATAAACAATCACATACAACATTATTACCAAAAACTAACTAATTTAACAAGGAATCATAAACAAAGCCTTAATATTGATAAATTTATCACAACAATAAAAAATAATAATAATAATAAAATAATGATAAAAAGAGATTTTACAATCAGATCTATTGTATTTTGTTTTGATTTAAATATAAAATAGCCGATTAGAAGATAAATTTGATTATTGCTATTTTTATATGGAATAATATAAATATAAATGTACAACAGATTATTCAATTATTTTGAAAACAGATTTATAAGCAAGCTTTTTAATGATATCCCTTCATAACATAAAACAAATTAAGGGTATAAATTCAATTAAACTATTTTTCTTATTTATTGTAAGTTTAAAGATGGATTCTATTGACTAATGCTGGTAATAAAACGGTCTTCTATGTCAGAAAGAAGTTAATGTTAAATTTGAATTATAATTTTATATTAATATTTTATACACATATTATATAAATATTAAAATTCATTCGTATATCATTATTTTTTTTTAAAAAGTTTAATTTGAAAATGGTAGATAATACTGTAAAAATACTAGCAGAACGTTTTATATAATAGCATAATAATAACTAATAGTTATTATACTTTTTTGTTAAAGAAAATCATATAATATTTAAAAGCTGAAGTTAATTTATATTTATATATTTTATGAAAATAATAAATGTGAACTTAAGTAATCAAGAAAAAAATTGTCAAAAAAAAAAAAAAATATGTTGAGATTATAATACTCCAGTTTAAATAAAATGAAAAAAATACAAATGGAAACAAATAATAAAAAAAACTGACAATTAACAATCTGATGACACAGTGGAATGTTGGGTAGAGCTTTTTGGATCTGGTTCGCCATCACATATGTATTTACCTGAAAAAGTTAATGATTATAAATTAGTATAAAATGTTTTTAAATAATATGTAACTATTATATATTATAATTTTTAGGTGTAAATCAAAACTTAGTTTATAGAAAAAAATGTAATCAAAATAATGATATGTAATGATATTATACATGTAAAATTAAGTTTAAGGAGCTGAGTAAAAAGAAAAAAATATCAATATTTATTCTATCTGATACTTGTATTAATATATATTTATAAAACTAAAAAGTTAAATGAGATTATTTATTCAACGAGAAATTTATAAGGATTTTTCTATTTTTTTGATCATGTATGTCACTTGAGTCTTTGATTAAATCATTAAAAGAGTCTGAAACTGGTGAGAGCCACTACTTTCGTGGTTGTGATCATATTTAAATGGCAGAAAGCAATGTGTATGATTTAATGGTGTGCCATCAGATTACTTCCATATTCCTTTGGATGATTCTCAGGGTGGTTACTTGTAACCACTATTATTTGTTATCTTCATTAATGGGCTTCCTGAAGTTTTGAAAAGTTAAGCTCTTTCTAAAAGTGAGTTCTCTAGTAATTGTTTATCTCTTCAAAAATATATAAATGCAATAACTTTATGGGCAAAAAACTTTCACCAAGTCTTACATAGAACATCTCTAAATATCATATTATGAACTACTTACAAATTTTTTAGTATTAAACTATTTGATTAATGGGGTTAACTTTACCTCATATATGAATGAGAAGGTTAATCTATGGTTAAACTTTTAGTAAAAAACAGTGATTCCATTCACACATCAAAAATATGTCATTTAACCACTAAAATTGATGAGCTTTGTAAAACGTATTTATAATGATTTTAAATTATCTACTTCTATTAAATCTGCCTACTGTTCGATTGTTTGTTCAGTCTTGAAGTATGGTATAGTAGCCTGGGAACCTAATAGTAATAGTGACAAATGTCAGTTCAAGCATATCCAGAGAAAATTGTTTAAGTCCTGTGCTTTTATTTTACAAATTAAATGGCAACCATGTTCTTCGGATTCTTGACTTAAAATAATTAACTGATAGAAGAGTTTATTAATTTTTTGTGTCTATTTAAACTTATCAACTCTGATATAGATGCTCCAGTATTATTGGTTTACGTTAGTATTATTGGTTAACGTCAACTTTCTTGTCTCTCTTCAAAACTTTTGCCATTTCCACTCGTTTTCTATTTCAATTTGTTTAAAAAAGCAATCCATTGTACAGGATGATGAAGACAGCCAACATTCTTATTTTAAATTACTTTTATTTAAATTTATTTGTATTATAAATGCATCATAGTTCTACTATTAATATTTTTTATTTCCAATGCCCTTTTCATTATTTTATTATTTAATTTTTTAATTTTTTTAATATATGCTTTTCTATTTCAATGTCTTCATAGTTGAATTGGGACAACTCGTAAATATATGATAAATAAAAAAATATAATTTTTAGCAGGTTAGTTTAACAATTAATAGTGAAAACTTACCAGCAACAAAACGTCTTTTGATTAATGAAACTCTATAACCACTACTTGCTAGCTCAAATTCTAGCCCGGATAATGTAGTACCCTCACAATTGAATTGAGTTACTATAGTTGATATTGGGCATAAGCTGTCAACCTCGAATCTTGCTTTAAGTGAACCAGAACCTTGACTTTCAGAATATTGAGCGAGTTCTGCAAACCTCCAACTTACTGTTTTTGTATCCGGAGCCCTATATTATTATATTTAAAACAATGTATAAAGTTATTAATTCAATCAAGTTGAGGTAGATAAAAATTACCATTGGGCAGTTGGCTTGGACTGCATATTACGTATTGCTGAATTTAAATTAGCAGAAACAGTAACATTCAATAAAGGTGAAGGAACACTCATGGAGTGACTATTAAACTTGTAACCAATTTTAAGATCTGTATAAGTATTACTGCATTTATAAAATGAAACTAATTGGAACGGGCATGAAGCGGCTGCAGTATTGCGCAATTTTACCTTAAAACGTAAGTTAAAAAATTATAAAATATTTGATTAATAATCAAAACATTAATTCAACTAACTTGATATTTGAGAATATCAACATTAAAGTAAGATGCAACAGGATTTTGCTCAAATTGTTTACGTAATAATGAAGTTAGAGCAAGCATATTGAACTCATAAACAGTTGAATCAGTGTATGTAAACGAATTATCCCTGAAATAATACAATAATATTAAAAACAAAAATATATTTTTTATATTTATTGTTCTTCCTTACGTTATAACTAATTGTTTGTTAGGTAGAATATTTTCCACCCGAGCAGTGTTCTTCAATCGAAATGTTAATTTTGCTGGATTCGGATTATTTGCTAAAATATTTGCAATACCCGCAGGAAAAGATACCATCATATCTCCAAACATTTTTACTTGACACCTAAAATAACATTTTAATAACTACAATCTGATTGACACCACTTAAATTATCCATTATTTTATAATTTATTATGATGATGGTTTTTATCCAGCACGATAATTATGGTACGAGCTAAGTAAAAAAAAAAGACAACAATGAAATACATCTGGAAACATGGAAACAGTTTTCCCATTTAAACTGTATAAATTATGTTATTTTATATTGTTGTTTACTTTGATTAGTCGAAAATATTCAATAGAAGAACAACCAAAGAATGTTGTACAACTTGTAAGACACTTAATTAATCGCGGAGTCTGGTGATAATCGAGTCACACAATCACCACCACTGACCCTTTTGTTGTATTCACATATTCCTTATATATACTAATCTTAAAATCGAATAATGTCTATGCTAATTGTTTTTTTAACCTACTTTTAAGTACTAACATTTTTTTATTTTCATTTTATAGAAAGCTTACTACAACATTACAACAATATATATATATTATATATAGTTCGCTAACTAGTAACACTAACCATTGAACTTCTTTATATTAAATATACAACAAACTATCAGAAATATTTTTCAAATTGTACTATTGTTAAAATTGAAACAAAATATGGCAATTGCCAATTTGTATGAGTAAAATCTATTAAAATAAAAATAAATAATACATTGGTACATTAACCTTACAATAAATGTGATATAAACTTTGGAAAAAGAAATAAAAATTAGTGGTATCATAGTCAATGCCCTACACAATACCTGAGTAAAAATAAATAAAAATATTTTGGAATTATATAGTTGTGGAATCATGTTGTATAGTGCTGTCAAAAATATTTGATTTTCAATCCTATACATGACAGAGAGGGCTATCTCTGTATGAGGTTGGATAATTAGATAATATTCTATAAGTCAGTAAAGGATATCATGTCGGTCAAGGAGGATGTGAGGCAACTTGTGGAGTGGTAGATTAGATGAAGCTAACTTATCCTACTGTTGATAATTTATTATTTATCATTAATCAATGATATAAGTTCTGACCACCACAACTTAAATGTTTATATTGTTTGATGATTTTTTATGATTTTTTAGTAATTATTGTACTGTAACGATTTACAGATTACTGAATCGTTATTTATATCGCGCTCAGTGATTTTACTGGAACATAGAGCACGAGCATATAATATGTATATTATAAAATATAGTCAGACAATCAAGTCTAAACCACGGTTGTGTCAAAAACACAGTCCAGCCTACCTTTAAAAATCACTTTTTCAATTGTTCAGCTCATACTTCGGTACTCCTATGATCTTCAATACAATACCTTCAAGAACAGGGTTACTGTGTACTATATAGTATAAATAGTATTCAATCATTTAATAAATATTGTTTCACGTTACTATATAAAGTTTCATTGTGTTAGTCTATGAACGCAGGTCATAAGTTCCTAGGATCTGTAAAATATAACTTAGAAAACTTTATTTTTATCGACCCAACAACCCGATTCTAAAGACCGGTCTGTGTAGTAGGAACAGCTCGGCGACTACTCCTAACTGGATAAGATTTAGTATAAATATTAACAACCACTTAGTTTTAATAAACGAATGAGGTGTGTTGCAGTACAATAAAGTGTTAGCAACTGGCTACACTGACAACCAGACGCCAGGCCTCGGCCCGGCACGGTATGACTGTCCAGTTCAGTTGTGTGCGTAACCGTGGTGTGCGACGTTGCGTGCGCCCACAAACCACAGTCCTTTTAGTTTGTTCTTTGTTTAAAATTTATTTGTTATGCAATCATTTTGTTAAATGCGAGTCGCGTCGTTTTTTTTAATAATAAATAATTCGATACGAAATCTCAAGTGTTATTTTAATGTTAAATAATCCTTCCTGACCAACTAGTTTACAAAAGTAATGCATCTGAGGCGGAAGTAACACTATGTTTCCAACCTTATTTACAATACCACACGAATAAAATTATATTTAATCCAATAATTATTTATTTAGGTAATAAGAATATTCATTAATATATTAGGTTGTCTGGTTCCAATTCTATATTTCCGTCAAAGTGTTCTTATCAAGTAAAAAATTAACAGTATTGTTAACTGATATTCTTGAATTATTAAGCACAATACATTATATATAACACAACTTAATAGCATTTAAAATTTTTTATTCTAATTTAAATTGTTTTTTAAGAAACATAATAGATAGTTTTCAATGTTTCAAAACAATTAAAATAATACCTTGATTCATTTGATCCTTTGAAATATGCATGGATTATTTCATGAAAAGCAACAGCTAGTGGAATGGAATCACATAATCCAATTGTTAATGGAGATGGTCCTCTAGATGGTCCTAGAACTCCGGAAGATCGAAAATCAAGACTTGACACACTGTCTGTTCTGCCAATGCTTATTGGACTAAGTTGATTACGGGGCCCATTGTTCTATATTCAATGAACCAAACATTCATTTTAACTGATTAGAAATTGTACAATTTTTAAACATATAAAAATTTGTATAAACTTTAAAATATTTATTAAGTATTGTAACTTCATAAATATTTGAATACTTTCACCTTTTTTTAAAACTATCAACAGTATTATATTAAAATGTCTCATAGAGATTAAATTGTAGTTAAATATTTTTAATTGTGCGTTCTAATACAATAAAGATCTTCATGAATCCATATGCAAGGTGTTATTGGATTTCAAACAAGCATATGATGTATCTACCGAAAGCAACTGTGGATAGCTCTTCACAATATTTAAATGCAAGACTTGTCAAAGACTAAGACAAAACATAGTGATATGCTCTACCTAGTGATGTTTAATCTAGACAAAAAAAAAGTGGTTGGAGGAAACATACCAGGTATCAGAAAAAATGGAATTAATAGGATTCTTACTCTGCAATTTTATGCAGATGAAATTATTCTATTAGGATAATCCAAATACAAAATTGAGGAGAGTGCAAGAAAGCTAGTATTATCTTGCCGCAATATGGGACCAGGTGTAGATGAAAACAAGACAAAATAAATTAAGATGATTTGGAACCCAAAATAAAGAGTACACACTGCAGTGCTGTACTGAAGGGTTAACATTTGAGTGGGTAGAGGACTCGGGAGTTAATATCAATGAATTAATAATTTGCATAATGAAATTAAGATGAGAATAAATACGACAAACCGATGTTACTACATAATGTGAAAGAGATGTTTTGCTCCAAGTTACTGTCTAATCATACATAGAAGTGTCTTTACTCTATGTAAACGAGACTAAGATCTATTCATGCCGGACGTGGTCTAGCACTTGGAAAATACTGATATCTACATATTATTGTTATTTAAATAATTCTATAATTACCTCGCGTCGTGAAGGTGGACGAGGAATAGAAATAGAACACACAGGAGGAGTGGTTGACGGAGGTCCCTGTTTTGGAGTGGACTGTTGAGCATCTCCAACATCAAAAAACAAGTCGCCTAGATCTAAACAGTTTTTAATTTTAATATATTAAACATTTTTTTTTTTATTAAGTAAAATTACGAGTATATTACCTGCAGCATATCTTGAAACCACAGGAAAAACATTTGGCGGAGAAATGGATTTATTAGTTAATGATAATGTAGGACTATTCATTGAATTACTCTGCTGAACTGGATTAGGAGTGGGATCATTGGGTTGAAACAAATTCAGTCCTATCAAATCATTACTTATTTTTCTAAAACAAATAATTATATTATTATAGTTTATCAACAAAAAATGATTTTATTATTTAATAATAATTTAATTGCATTATTTAATTATTGCTTACACAGTATTCAATTGTTGAGAAACAGATTTAGAACGTTTCATGGTACCATCATCGTTAACAGATCCTCGTCGATTCTAAAAATTATGTTTTAAAGTTAAATTTGTTAAATTTTTTTTTTCTAGTTACCTTTAAAGTATGTGTTCCTAAAGGTAATAATGATATGTTTTCAACAGTAGCTCTTAATTCATCAACACTTGCACTGATTGGACCTGCCCCATTGCTTAATGGTTTTATCTCAACATGTAGTCTTTTATCTCTTTCTTCATCTATTAAGCCATTCATAATAAATACATTTTGTTTTAAATAATAACAAGAACAAATTAAGAACCTGAATCAGAAGAGGAATCAAATGTTTCTTCTTTGTCGACAGTCCATTGTCCCGATGGCTGAATACAATATCCTTCATCATCTATTTCTGGAGCATTAGTTTTTGGCTCTTCTTCTTTTTCTTCACTGAAATTCATACCACAATTTAGTTTATTATAATATGTATGTGATATTAAAATTTTTAGTTACTTTTCAGATTTATCTTCCTTTCCAATTGTTTCACCACTAGAATCCTTTTTCTTTTTAGTTTTCTTTTCTTTGCGTTTGTCTCGTCTGCTCCTTAAAAACCCTGAACACATATTACATTTCTTAACCAAATTAAATGGAATATACAAACCATCGAGGCACAATACAAAGAGATGAGCACATCAGTATGATTAAGATATAATTTTAAAAAATGTAGTATCTTAAAAATACTAGTCACATTATCTTTGTATTTGGCACTTAAAAATATCTAAATAAATAATACTATTGATAAAATAACTGTGAACATACATGCAACTAGAATAAAAATAAAATTGTATAATAAATAAATAAATAAATAATATAAATTATCATTTCAAACAAATGCAACAATAAAAGCCATTTCAAAGGATATAAAAGGACGAAAAGAAATTAATTTTGGAATGTTCTGTAGTTAATATGTGATAAAAATATACTTATAGCCGCACTTATGATATATTTGGCCACCTTGAAATAAGTTAACTTGAAGATAGTGTACTTGTATGACAGCATGCTAAATATAAAGATATGTTAATAAAAAAGATTTAATTTTTAGTTTTAAAAGCATAGCTAACTGTGATGATTCATAAATACTAAATAGTCCAAAAATTTAACAATATATTTTTAAAATAATAAAAATCAATGAATTTATTTATATTTATTGAATATTGATTAACCTTAAAAATAAATAATATTTATGGATTATTTATAAAATTTTGATGAATTAATGTTTTTTTTTTTTAATTACATAATTGAACCGTTTTATTTTTATAGAATACAAATGTAACAACAACAATTATTTGAAATGTTTAAATTGAATATAATTGATGCATAAAATACTACCTATTAAAGATATATATAAATAGATACCTAAAGACAGAAAAAAAATATGTATACTATTTTGACCATTCTCCTTAATACATAAGTGGTTAATTTATTTGTAGTTAATAAATTTAATTACTTTATGATTTGACACAATAACTAATTTTTACTAATAAAATAAAAAAAATCTCATCTCTTAACAGTATTTTTAGTTGATAAATAAAATTGAATGGCATAGTTATAAATTTTACTTTAGATAGTTATTTATAAACAAACATTTTATTTATATTTTTCTTCAGATAGAAAAAATATATTATTGTTGAACAATGTTATGAATAAAAATAATAAATACACAGAAATTCAAGCATAGCATTGCATTTAACCACTATTATAAAATTATATTTATTACTTAACATGAATAGTTTGCTTCAAAGAAATATTAAGATAAATAATATGTATAAAATATGTTTCAGAATAATAACTTGTGTAATTGACAATATACTTTTAGTTTCTAATTGAAATATTTATTTTGTACAAAACTAATTTCAACAAAATTAGAAAATAATGCATACCTATCAAATGTAATTTATCTGAAACTTACTTCATTCATATTTGTTTAAACAGTAAATATCAAGTATAAGAACTCAAATAAATCTGAATATAGCGCTTGAGAGGGAGCGTAAATTGATCTAAAGGAAAATGCAACAAAAATATGTAAACATGCAAGAAACTTTATACCTAAGGATCAATAATAATAAACACAAATTACATTTTGATCCACGAATAGAATTCTGAGGAAGTGAATAAGCTGTGTGATCAGCACTTAAACTGACAGTTCTGTTTGATTTTGAAAAAGCACCTGTAACACAGCTTTTACTTAAATAACAACACACAAGCTAATAATTAATTTTATACAAAATATGCATGCATTATACATAATTTGATAGAACAATAATGAATAATGATCAATACTGATAACATTTTGTAATATGCTGTTACACTTAATATGAATAAAAATGTATTTAAAAATTATTATAAATCAAATAATGAAAAAAATTAATTAATACTACTTTGAAATTGTAAATGTTGCTTTCCAAAAAATATTTAAAAAACAACTAATTTAGCTTATTAAATTAAATCTACAATTATTATAAACACAAATTACTACAAAATTATAAAAAAAATTACTGTGTATAAATAGCAATGACAGACAATATCATTGTGTGATCATTAAGGACGCCACACCCACATATGTTGTTTCCGCCTTACAAATGTGAAACATAACAAATTTTTACGCTCAGCAATTCCAATTTATTTCTGTTACCTTAAAATGTATAGCGAATAAAAAATTAAAGGTAAAATTATCATATAGGTTATTACTGAGGCTTTTTTTTATGTTTAAATTAAAAAGCGAGTTATAAGTATTTTTAAAATTATAAATTGTTTGTACATCTTAAAATACTCATAACTCGCTTTAAAATTAATAAATAAAAAAAAAATCTCAGTAATAACCTAGAAAATAATGCTGCCTTTAATTTTTATAATAAAGTCAATTCCCTCTAAATTTAAAAATATATATTAATAATTAATAAAATAATTTTAAAATTTATATAATATTAAATAATGATAAATAGGAACAGCTGAGCTTAAAATTTGTTATGTTACGCACTTGCAAGTTGGAGATTACGCATGCATATCGCATCCACTTAATATATTAATTAATATAAAATATATAAATCTGTTATATAGTATTCTTTAGAACGACAGGAATATAATATATTATAATATCAAACTTTGAACGGGGCCAATAATAAAATTCATGAATGTTTTGTAAATTTTAATTATTTTTATTTTTTACACTTTTCAATTTCTTTATGGCTATAAGCCTATAACCAATGAATAATTATTTCGTATAATACTTTTATAACATTGAAAAATAATAAATGACAATTCACTATACCATGCAATTATAATTTTGTTTATAAAAACATTGTTAATACCTAACTCATAAAAGAGAAGAAAAAATGAAAAATATTTTATGTTTCATTTTTGTGAATGTTTTAATATTTTATCAAGTTATTAAATAATTACAATTTTCCTAATAGGTGAATTKTGGGTATTTAGTTAGTATTAATACTTGTTTTTTTGTGAAAAAAGCTGACACAGTTTCAATTGATTTTATTTTTTAACAATTTAGTTTTGACTATCACAAATAGAATTAAAATTATATTGATATAATCAAAATAATTTAAATACTACAGCATTTCAAATTTTTGAGAGCCATGAATAATAATGAAGATAATTAACACTAATATATTAAGGGGATTGGTCAAGTCACACTAACTAGTATACATAAAAAAACGTAATTGATAAAGCAACTAAAGAGATATTTGATATTACCGATTGCTGGTACGGTGCAGAAAAAAATTCTACTATAATAGCAGTTCCGGTAGGCCGATTGCGAGGTTGAAAAAAATTTATTGTTAAATGAACATACCATGGGAGTTGGAGATGAATATATTGAGTAAGGATGTTGCTCTGGAGGACTGGTAATTGGTAGCATCTTTCTGGTCCCTTACACGGCAATTACCTTCACGTTTTGCCGTTGAAGGCTTTTCAGATGCTACACTAGCTGCACATGAGTTTTGTGGCGTACTCATGAAAACTGGTGAATTGGTTCCTTGAATTGATTTTGAATCACTTGATGAGTCCGGAACTTGATTCAAACTACTAGAAGTGCTATTGAGACAAATTTCCTCAAATTCGATATTTTCTTGTAAAGGTAAAAACAATTAACAGTAAGAAGTTGAATACAATTAAAACTATATAACTGCATACTTATATTCTATAGTGTTAGGATGTTTATGACCCAATTTAATTTACATTTAATTTATTTTAATAGGACACAATCGCAGACCAAATTATAATTATGTACAGTAAGACATAAAAGCAGTAAAATATATTCATCTTTCATAATTTTTGAATCCAATGCAATATAGTATATTAAACCACATACTGAAGTTAAAAAATGTATAAGCTTAATATATAATATAATTAAAAATTGAGCCAGTTAAATCACAAGAAATAATAATAATTAAAATATGGATCCATGCACCCATAATGAACATGAAAATTTTTTTTTATATTAAATTCTTAAATTTATATATACCTATAATTAGGTATTGTTATTGGTGTCACTTTTTACACAATCGCGCAAATATAAAATATGTAGTATAGTTATTAATTAATTATAAATTAATTATAATATATTAAAATGTATAGTAATATATTTTGAATACATAATAAAAAATTGAATTTTATCATACTTGACTATTTTAAAGGTACATCTTGATAATTTAAAACTCTATAAATATATTTGGCATTTGCATGCTTTTTTAGAGTTTTTATAGTCATAAACATTCTAGCCCTAAAAATTTGTAATGTATAAAATACCTGGTTTCTCTAATCCTGTATATTTAGTTAAAACAAATTGCTCCAATAGTTTGTCCACAGTCATTTCTAAACATTGTTTTTTGAATTCAACATGCACCTAGACATGGCGATATCATTGATTTAAACATATTTATCAATGGTTTGATTTAAATTAACAGAATATMAATTAAATCTTTGATTGTCACATATTCAAAATTAAAATACTTAATTTAACTAACTTTTCCAATTTCTTCATGATTAGATTCAACTAATTCAGTATAGACATTGAGAAAATCTTTCATTTGTTTCAGATGTGATTGTTCAACTTCTTGGAAAAGCTATGCAAAAAATTAAAATCAACTTCATAAGTTTAAGAAGCAATATTAATTCAATTTTGTAACAAATAAATAAAATCTATTTTAACCTTGCACGCTGCATTCATTTTTTTTTCAAATTCTTCTTTTACATTACTATATTTGTCAACTAACACTTTGTAATCATCTTGAGCTTTTTTTAATTTTATTTCAGCTTTTTCAATGTCCTTGGCAGAAGCATTATCTTTTCTCAGTTTATCCAACTCTCCACCTTTTTGTAAATAAATATCTTTTGCTTTTTGTAAGGCTAATGTAGTTGACTGGATGGCTTGTACAGCATCTAAAGTTCCACTTTGTTCTTCTTTTACCTAAAAGTATGGATTATATTAAAAATAATTCTAGTAAATGAAAATTTCAGCTGTAAATTGTAAATTCTACTTACATTTTTGTGTTTTTTTTGCAATTCATCTGTGTATTTAGTAACATCTTTTACTAATTCACAGACTTTATGTACCATCTGCATATGTATTGTGGTTAATTTCTCAATAGACAGACGAAGTAATTGCCATAAAGGATTGAATGTCCCTGTATTTGAACTACTACTTGTTTGTTTAGCTAACTTTGCAAGTAATTTTGAGCATGTTTCTTCGATGTTAGTCCTAATAAAAATAATATATTCATCAGTCATATTACATACTTTTAGATAGTTAATACTTAATACTTAAAGATATTATTTGAATACGGTTTATATTAGTTATTTCAATTTTTAAATCAACCTTTTTTTTTACCTCTCTCTTAAAAAATCTGATAGATCCTTATTGGCAATCAATCCATGTTTCATATTATGGTACAAAATGTCAAATCCATTATTTTTTTCGCCCTAAAATAATTGAAATATCAATACTATTATTTATGTTAGATGTTTATAACTATATGCAAAAAATAACATTACAAAGTATCAAAATAGTGTTAACAGTAATCATTATTAAATGTATAAATTTCCTTTTTATATTTTATAGATTAACATTTGTGTTTAATGTTCTGATTAGATTTTGGCTCAGGTCAATATGTTGTATTTAACATATTATGGAAACTGATCTACTGTTATACAGATTAATGAATGTCAAGTATCAAATGTATATACAAAACAAAAGTAAAAAAAAAAAACTTAATTTTAAATTTAAATATATATAATTTGTAAATTAATTTTTAAAAGACAAAATGCTAATAGAAACACTACTCAAATTACTATATTATAAGTATAATCAATAGGTACTAATATTAAAATTAATAGTTTTGTACCTACTAATGTTTAAAATAGAGAATTTTTTTTTTTAACTATACAATAGGTATATAACATACCTCATTTGATATAATTAAAATATAACATTTTTAAAATAAAAGCGCCTACTTTAAGTATTTGATAGATATTTTACATACTATTCATAACATAAAACATAATGTTTTATGAAATATAATATACTAAGTTAATATGGTGTTAAAACGGTTTGAGATTAAATCGGTTTTAGATTCTCAGGATACATGGTGCAAGCGTTTTAACTTTTAAAGCGGTTTACATTTTTAAACGGTTTTTACAACTTACCACGTTTATATGATAGCGTTAAAAAAATTGCACTATGTAGTTTAAGAATTTAAAACCAATTTAATTTCAAACAATTTTAACACCATYAGATAAATGTAATAATAGTGAGAAAAGTTTCGTTGATATAATTTTTTTTTGATCAAAAATTTATAGCTAGTCAAGTTCAAACTTTGTTTTAAATAATTTTTCATTAATGAAATCTATATTTCTTAAATAGTACCTAATATAGACAGCTAGTAAGATAAATTCAAAAATATTATATTATATAATACAAAAAAAAAAAAACAAAATGAAAAGATATCAGTTAAGGGACTGACTATCATTTTCAAGTTTAATTACATAATATATCATATGTTTTGCTAAGAGAAATGAAGCAAGGATCATAATATAGTAAACACTTTGAAGTATCTAATTCAATTTTTCTGTATCCTTCAATTTTAATAAGTATATTTTTTATTTACTACTTACCCAGAACTTAGCTAGCTAGTTACATTAATAAAGGTATTTGTTTTATCTACATTATTTATCCATCTTGAAATTTTAGTTATTATAATCCTCATTAAAAATATGGTATTAGGCCTAATCGCCTAACAAGACTTTAGATTTTGGTTAAACAGACTTTAATTTTGAAAATAGTTATTGATTATTAGTTTTATATAGTTTAAGTAAAGTAAATTTTAATATTTGTTTTTTAACTAAATCATTAAAAAATGAAAAAAAAATGTATATTTGAATTTTGAATTTAACCATCTGTACTTATTTGGAATGAAAAATGTGATGGTTAAAACTTATCAAAATTGTTAATAAATCAAAATAAAAACTGTCCAATCAAAGTCAGAAAGTTATAAAATTATTATCACACTATAACTGTTTTGAAAATAGTAAATAATGAGTTATTAATCTGCAATATTTTAGGGTATGGCTATGCAGTTGTTGATATGAGCTTAGGAGTACTTATGTGCAATGATTGGAAGTAAACATTTAATAATATGTTCATCGTACAGACATTCAAATTTCCAGATTGGACTCATATTATATAATATATACTTATGTTGATTAACTTGTCATACACTTACAAATCATCAATATATTATACTATATATTATTATATTATTATATAGTATATGACTATATTTTCCTACTTAAAATACAACCAACACTTTACAACCAAAATTATAATGGTTAAATTAGGAACTTCAAAGTTATTGATTTTAAGCCATTAATATARTAATATGTAACTAAATAGTTAACACCTAAAACATAGTCAGCCAGAGACTATATTTCTTTATAAAGGAAATAAAGGACAGGGTTTAATGTAATGACATATTTTTTTCAATTCTAAAGTTTAAGTTTTTGAGTAAAATAGATGTTTAAATTTTGTAAATATACTTTGGCCACTGAAAGAACACTACCCCTTAGCATAGGCGTATCTACGGGGGTTGGCAGGGTGGACACAGGCCTCCCCAGTGACTTGATTCTTGGCCTCTTGGCATATAGTCTACCGTGAAACACAGATTTCTATATGGTTAGTAGTGCTATATAATTTACAAACAAAAATAAAAAGTCACAAATATAGATTATAAAATACAGATCGTTGTAATAAGTAAAAAATTTAAATTTTATAAATGGCCTCCTTAGCCATGGAGGCCTGGACACGCTTATGGCAATTAGTGCATTCAAATGAATGAGATCTACAGTTTTACGCCCAAATGTCTTCCATTTAACTATCTAATTCATGACAAAATCAATGTCAGTGGTGGTGGACAGTATTTATGACGGCCAGCGTTTGGGCCAGTTTAATGGTGGGAATATGCGAGAAAAGATGAATTTTGGTTACTGCCTAATAGTGTTCTCTTGTTGGCCTGAGTATACCAAATGTTAATACCTATAAAAAATGTTGTTAAAAATTAGTGGATATTCAAGATCACTGAAATGTTGTTAGGCTATTTTGAAAATTAAAAATCTTCATATTTTATGCTGTTATTAAGAAGATGTTAGCACAATATTTTTTTACTTTCTTTGGTCCATGAGCAACTCAGCAAATTTTTATTTAGCCTATTATTTAGCAGAACCAATCTTGTGTTGTTTGCTTTAATTTATATTAACATATTATCAAACCTCAAGTCAATAAATAATAAAATTGTGTATATATATATATGTTAGCTTTAAGTTGATAGATTTTTACAGTGTTTTAAATTTTTATGCAAGTTATGGGTACATTAAGACATGCACTCAAACTTAAAAATACTCTTCCACAACAGAAATATTGAAATATCTTTAAAAAAAACAATTTACAATATACATTGATAATAGACCAAGACCAATTCACAGGTAACAATACAAGATTTTTTCTACTGAATGCATATTTGTTTTTATTTTTATGTTTCATGTAAGTCATAAAGAGACCATAAATAATGTGTTAATATCAATGGTTGACTTGGAAATAAAGTAGTAGAGGTACTCTAGCTACTTTTAAAACGTAGCGTCTCTAGCATTTTAATAAAACTTACATAATCATGGCGGTGGGGGGTTAAAAGTTTACATAACAATCTGTCCCATGCGTTCCCCTTTAAAAAAGAAGTAGGGGTACGCTAGCGTATCCAAAAAAATTAGTTGAGGTACTCAGTCCTCCGTGCCCCCTCCCAAGTAAACCACTGGTTAATATCTACTTAACTATATCAATAATTGTGAAAATATCTCATTTTAGTATATGTTATTTATATATTCTATGTGAAATGAAATTTAAGTCAATAAATTTAGTGTAGCTTAATAAATCAGTGCTGTATAAGTGCATAAGCATACTTAAAATATTTCACAAATCTAACCAAAAAGAAATTTTTTAGGAATTTTTAATGAAATGTATTCAATTTGTTCTCCCACTATATATCAATTTGTTTTGAATTAATTTAAATTTGCAGATCAGGTAATTTCCAGAGTACTCAGACACTTAAACACACATCCTATGAATAAATATGTTAAGAGGATACTATCCATACATTTGTTGTCCCGTCTTACACATATACCACATGTTTTAACTAGTGATAACTGCTGTTATCACTAGTTTTAATAGTGTGCTTTTAGTTTTTATATTAGAGTGAATTTTCCTATAGTCAAATTATTGAGTAAGAAAATTATCAGTGCTTAAGCATGGGCAAGTTTTTAGATATTTTAATTTTAAATATTGATATGGACATGTCACTTGAAAATGAGAATATATAAAATATATAAAAGCCAACACTAAAGCACAGACAACATTCTTATTTCTTACTTAAACAACTGATAATTAGTCAACTCACTAAATATCAAAAATAATATCTTATGTTGTATGTGGCATGTGCCAATTAATGATCATAGATAAATATTACTTCTTTTAGCTAAATGTTTAAATTGCTTATTTTAGGCCAACAAAGCAAATGAGCTGAGGCAGCACTTTGTAAAATAATATTTAAAGACTTAAGCACCACAGTAGAGGGACAGTGCGGGTTTCGAGTGAAAGACGAGTTATGTTTTTAAGCGATTCATAGAGACCCGTATTTTGTGTGTTTGTTTTATGTATAATAAAGTTATTCAAAATAGTATTAATTGTTCATCGATTATTTTGTGTACCATCGAGAGATAGGTATACTACACTTACTATTCAACAATTTTCTATGTCGTACATTTGTAAGAGAAAGACGCCAAACTCACGGGCAATCCCCTTTTATAAATAATGTAACAGGAACGTATACAGTAATCCCTCGTTATCCACGGATTAAAAATCTGCAGTTGGGTCGGCGATAACATTTTATAAATGCATGCGATGAAATTGCATCTTTATTATACCCATACTTATAACAGATAAGCTACATAAGTACATACCTTAATATGTACGTTTAATTTGTTATATCTTAAAATTGTTCAGTTAACAAACATCAATTACAAATTTTTTTCATCCTTCCTAATATAATATGTATGTATAAATAATTAATAAATTATATTAAAAAAAATAAATAATCAAATAATTGTAAAAAATATTAACCTTTATGTGATTTTTAAAATTAAATACAAAATAATAAAAATTCAAAAATTGTATGTAAATAAAACCTAACTTCCCGTTTTACATTGCTTTATGGTCTCGTTATCCGTGGTTTTGATATCCGCACAACTTTGCTCGAACCTAACCTCCGCGGATTAAGAGGGATTACTGTATGACCTTTCCACAGCTACATAATGTATACTCTGCAACTTATCTATGCGGCATGAAATAGAATATTTTTAATTTAAGATATATAAGTAGGTACCTACTTATATGATTTAATTTTTCAAGTTTAAGCCAAAGTTTCTTAAATTTTTAATGCTACCAACAAATGATTATATTACAAGCTAAAGGAACAATAGGAGCTACCAAAGTGGAATAAATTTTTTGAACATAATAATAAATCTAGAGAAATAAAAGGGTTAAGTACCTAAATGACAACAATTAATATATATATATTTTTTTTAACTTTATGTTAAATACTGACCTTCTACCTACATTAATTTATAAAATGAAGTGTAATGTGCTATACCTAGTTCTACTTTACATTTTTTTATTATCTACCTAAATATTTTACTTAGCTAATTGACCGTAAAAAATTATATAAATAACATTATACCTATTTTTAAATTGCATCTTATATCCTAGCATATCTTGAGAGTTTTAAATACATTAAAATTCAACTCGACTAATATTATTATTTTATTCTCTAATATTAATCACCTTTTAGTGAGTGCAAAAAACATCACTGTACAGATAGATATTTTTTCATAATCTATATTTTTATTAGAATATACCAGGTATCTCTTGAAATATTCAAATATACTAACAGAATATTATTTTCTAATTGCTGATATGTCTTTAATCAATTCACTGAATGATTAATCAGCATAGAAAATTTGTGATGTACAAAAACGTAAACAATATAAGACACTGGATAATATTGATAAATCGAGGGAATAATAATTAGCCGGTACCTATGAAAACCCTTTTACACTTTACAGCAACATTGAATTAAAAAAATTAAATGGAGGCGTGAGATCAAAAACATAATTGGTATTGATTGAAGTCAACTAAACATAATGAGCAACAATTACGATTGAGCATGAGTGTGGGTCCTTGACATGAATGATAAATGTGTCCATGAATTTATGACGTATATATCAAATGACTAAGATATGTTCGCCAAAGCTAAATCCAACACTAAGTGACAAGAGAAGATGATAGGTAGGATCGTTGCCACTCATGATTGATTGGGTGAAACCTAAGAGACAACAGACAAACGATAAATAAATATTTACCCAAAAATAGTCGCAAAAGTCAACAGTCATGATGAACGACGTGTGGAGCTGGTCATTCCAAAATCGAAAGGCAGGTGGCGAAAACGTGTGGCTGTTTCCTGGCGTCGGTGGCGTGTGTGATGGCGCTTATAGTGGTCGTTGCCTGTTTGACGGCGGTCCTCATGAAACGATCGCGAGATTAGTAATTATGTCACGCCTCAAGCAGGAAAACTGCAGTGGTTGTGAAAAATACACAGCTTCTTCGGAGCGGTATTTGGTACTTCGGTTGTGTGTTGTGTCGTCCGACGGCAAGGATGAAGGAAGTAACCGAGCGACGGGACTGATAATGTACTAAGATTAACAACTAGAGTGTGCGAGGGTGACGGGGGATGACTGATTATGGAGAAAAAAAATTATCGGACTTGCTATCACTGCTCGAGCCTAAAACGGTTTACGCCCTCTCGGCGGCCCCGCGAACCGTCACCGACGCGACGACGCGACATTGCGACACCGCGGCGCAGCACGCCCACGATGCGATCATGGAAGAAACCAGAAGCGTTCCAACAAACGCCTACCGCCGCCGCCGCCTCCACCGACGGTATGCGATATTGTACAATAATGTAATACTTAATACTAGTATTATAATAGTAATAATATGGGACTTGTTCTGCGATGCCGACGTACCGTATTACACAGTATTGTTGTTATTGTTATTTTTGTTGTTGTTGATGTCGTCACGCCCGTCGGCTATGATCAATATCCCGTGAATAAAATGAATTCGTCCACATTCAATGGGGAAAAAATTGAAATTTTTTTAAAATTAAGCAATTATTTCCCGATGCTTAAATTTGTACATGTAGGTATCTGCATCAAGCGCGTGTCATACTTTTTTCTCAATTTTGTTTAATATTATTATATTAACTCAGGTATATATAGCGACTATATAGCGACAATATTAGCCATCACCAGCCACGGACACTGATATTGTTTATTAATTATTATTATTGTATTGACTAAAATACTGATTGTTGTTACTATACTTTGATATTTTGTTACAGTTACGTCAGTAGTACCCTAGCTCTAGTTATAAAACACACCCCCCCCCCCCTGAAAATAATTCTGGTTACGACCGGTTGTTACGAATGGATTATAAATTTAAAAAATAACTCATAACAGTTATAACGAGTATCATTTTAATTTCGGTCGTCGAAATTATCTGTCACGGTTCAGTTTCGACCATCGTGCAGTTCAGCGATTATGTCTTATTAGCTATTGCTATGATTTATATAACATATATTATACCGAGCGGGACGTGGGAGCCGGGAGGGATCAGCCAACGCGATACTGCTCCGGGAATCCGGAAGCTCCGGTCATTTAGTTCACTGTATAACATACAGGGTGATGTTTAAGCATGCTC